CAGCTCGGAGATACGCACTCCACTTTCATACTTAGCAATGATCTCTTTCTTCATCTCTATAGTAATTCTCACCCTTATTCCTGTAGGGTTGGCACTAGAAGCTTTCTTGGGGCCCATGGTCACTTATTTTGCAGATAAAATCACCAAAAACACTGTAATAATACGAAATGTTCCGATTGTATGCTTGGATGTTACCGCGGAGGCTGGCTGGTAAACAATGCCACCAGCGGAACATGTGAGGCTGGCTCAGGCCACACATTAGACGCGTCTCGGCCGAATAGCGTTGAGCGGGTTTTTTAGCGGTATGCGAGGCAAAAATCTTAGCGATAAAATGTATCGGTATGCGGATTTAATATTATGTGATGCCAACGGTATGCGGGGGTCCACTGTATTTTCTTCAAAATTATATAAGAAACACGTTACATAGCATGTAAACATGCAATGTTTATATGCTATTGAATGGTGAGTCGGGTGGAGGGTAAACATTATGTTTTCTCTGGTCTAGTGTTAGAGAAAACTGTGAATCTGGCATCTGGCCCAGTCACCGCCCTTAATACACGTTTGTTTATAATTCTCAGCATGAATTATTCATTACTTCTCCCTCTGTTTATGATGGCATCTAAAGGTAGTTAGAAATGATTAAACTCAGTGAACATGGTATGTTAATGGTAATAATATGGCTGTGTTCTGCAGTGTAGGTAGCCAGTAGGTGTAGCCCAGAGGGACTACATACATGTACCTACATCTACCAGTTACCTACACTGACTTCCTACAAATAAATACTATTCACCTCTCACCCTACAATAAGACTACAAATATTTTAAGGTAAGTAATGAATATACTAACCACTGAAGATCTGCAACACTATAGTTATTCTCTATAAAATTTATTTTTTGTTAATATTTTTGGGTGTCTGAAATGGATTAATTGGATTTACATTATTTCTCATGGGAAATATTACTTCAGTTTTCAGCCATTTTGGATTTAGGCCAACATTCTGGAATGGATTAGTTAAAAAAACTGGGGGTCTATTGTACGGTAATCATATATAATACATTATTCTGACTGATGAATGTGATGCAAAAATGCTAAAAGTATTATATATGTATGTATTTATAAATGACCTGAAAAAGAAGATTCACTTTCATCATCATTCACTCCATCACTGTCTTGCCTGAGGCATGCCTACACTACAGTTAAAAAACTGCAACATACTGACACTCCTTTAGAGTGCAGGCACTGTACACTTCCAGGACTCAAGTCCGGTTAACCACTTTCCCTGAATTCGTTCATAAATGTTATTTTGCTCACACTCCAACAGCACATCATCATTAACAACCATTCATTTTCACTCATTCCTATCTAACATGCTCAAGAACACTTGCTGTAAGCCCAAGCCACTCACACATAAAACCTTTTTCACCCCCTCCCTCCAACCTTTCCTAGGATGACCCTTACACCACCTTCTTCCACTTCAGATTTATATGTCCTCCAAATCAATATACGTATATTGTTCCATCCTTTCTAAATGTCCAAGCCACACACACACACACAATGTGTGTGTGTGTGTACTCACCTATTTGTGGTCACATGGGTCAAGTCATAGCTCCTGGCCCCGCCTCTTCACTGATCACTACTAGGTCCTCTGTCTCCCTGCTCCATGAGCTTTATCAAACTTTGTCTTAAAACTATGCATGGTTCCTGCCTCCACTATCTCACTATCTAGGCTATTTCACTTCCTGACAACTCTGTGACTGAAGAAATACTTCTTAACACCCCTTTGACTCATCGGAGCCTTCAACTTCCAAGTGTGACCCCTTGCTTCTGTGTCCCATCTCTGGAACATCCTGTTTTTGTCTACCTTGTCAATTCCTTGCAGTATTTTATATGTTGTTATCATGTCTCGCCTAACCCTCCTGTCCTCCAGTGTCGTCAGGCCGATTTCCCTTAACCTTTCTTCATAGGACAATCCCCTTAGCTCTGGGACTAGTCTTGTTGCAAACCTTTGCTCTTTCTCTAATTTCTTGACATGCTTGACCAAAATGGTGCTGCATACTCCAATATGGGCCTGACGTACATGGTGTACAGAGTCTTGAATGATTCCTTACTGAGGTATCGGAACGCTATTCTTAGGTTTGCCAGGCGCCCATATGCTCCAGCAGTTATGTGGATGATATGCGCCTCAGAAGATATGCTCGGTATTATACTAACCCCAAGATCTCTTTCCTTGAGTTAGGTTTGCAGTGTTTGGCCACCTGATGTCTTCTTTGCCCTTCCTTAATCTTCATGACTTTGTATTAGGTGGGGTTAAATTCAAGGAGTTAGTTACTGGACCAGGTTTGTAGCCTCCTGTCCAGGTCTCTTTGTAGTCCTGCCTGATCCTCATCGATTTAATTTTACTCATTAACTTCATGTTATCTGCAAACAGACACACTTCTGAGTGTATCCCTTCCATCAAGTCATTCACATATACAGTACCAAAAACAGCACAGATCTTAGGATTGACCCCTGTGGAACCCCGCTCGTCACTGGCGCCCACTTTGACACCTCGTCTCATAACATGACTAATTGTTGCCTCCCTGTCAAATATTCTCTGATCCACTGTAGTGCCTTTCTTGTTATGCATGCTGGATCCTCTAGCTTTTGCATTAACCTCTTGTGAGGAACTGTGTCGAAGGCCTTCTTGCAGTCCAAGAAAATTAAATCTATCCACCCCTCTCTCTTATGTCTTACTTCCATTACCTTGTCATAAAACTCCAGTAGGTTTGTGACACAGGATTTTCCTTCCCGGAAACCGTGCTGGTTGTTGTTTTTAAGCTTATGTCTTTCTAGGTTCTCCACCACTCTCCTCCTGATAATCTTCTCCATGATTTTGCATAATATACACATCAGTGACACATGTCTGTAGTTTACTGCCTTGTGTCTGTCTCCTTTCTTAAAAATTGGGACTACATTTGTCATCTTCCATACCTCAGGTAGTTGCCCAGTTTCAATGGATGTGTTAAGGCTTTTGTTAGTGGCACACACAGCATCTCTGCTCCCTCCCTAAGGACCCACAGAGAGATGCTGTCTGGTTCCACCGCCTTTGAGGTATCATGTTCACATAGCAGCTTCTTCACCTCCTCCTCGGTTGTGTGTATTTCATCCAGCACTTGTTGGTGTACCTCCCTATTCTGACTTCCTGGAGTCCTTCTTGTCTCTACTGTAAATACTTCTTTAAATCTCATGTTGAGCTCCTCACATATTTCTTGGTCGTTTCTTGTGAACTCCCCACCTTCCTTCCTCAGCCTGATTACCTGGTCCTTGATTGTTGTTTTCCTCCTGATGTGGCTATACAGCAGCTTCGGGTCAGACTTGACTTTCGATGCTATGTCAATTTCATATTGTCGCTGAGCCTCCCTTCTTATCTGTGCATATTCCTTTCTGGCTCTTCAGCTAATCTCTTTATTTTCCTGGGTCCTTTGTCTTTTGTACTTTTTCCATTCTCTAGTGCACTTAGTTATTGCCTTCCTACACTTTTGGGTGAACCAAGGATTCATTCTGGTCTTCCCATTACTTCTGTTTCCCTTGGGAATAAACCTCTCCTCTGCCTCCTTGCATTTTGTTGTCACGTAGTCCATCATTTCTTTTACTGATTTTCCTGCCAATTCTCTTTCCCACTGAATGTCTTGCAGGAAGTTCCTCATGGCTGTGTAGTCCCCTCTTTTGTAGTTGGGCTTCTCCCATTATATCCTGCTGCCCTCTCCACTTGTAGCTCAACTATGTATTCAAGGCACAGAGCCACATGATCACTTGCTCCAAGGGGCCTTTCATAAGTGATATCCTCAATGTCCAAAATACTCAAGGTGAATATAGTGGTACCCTGAGTTTCGGCCATAATTCGTTCCAGAAGGCTGTTCAAGTGCCATTACCAAACGAATTTGTTCCCATAATGAATGAAGTAAATTAGATTAGTCCATTTCAGACCCCCAAAATTACACTTACAAAAGCACTTGCAATAATACACTTACATAACGGTTTGAGTTGGGAGGGGGCCAAAACTCGGGGTACCACTGTACTAGGTCCAGTCTTGCTGGTTCATCTTCACCTCTCTCTCTGGTAGTGTCTCTAACATGTTGATGCATGAGGTTTTCCAGTACCACATCCATCATCTTGGCTCTCCATGTTTTGGGACCCCCATGGGGCTCCAGGTTTTTCCAGTCAATCTCCTTGTGACTGAAATCACCCATAACTAGTAACTTTGCTCTACCCATGTGAGCTCTTCTGGCCACGTTGGCTAGTGTGTCTACCATTGCTCTGTTGCTCTCTTCATATTCTTCTTGGCCTGCCTGCCTGCCTGCCTTCCACTCTCGTGTGTGTGTAGGCATGCGTGTGTGTTCATACTGAATAGGTAAAACTTGCGATTTTGATTTAAATAGCAATACTCTTCTTGCCGAATAAGGCAAGCAAAAATTTGTGTATGCAATAATTTTACAATAATCATTCTGAACCTAACACAAAAAATATTTCAGTTTATTTATTATTAAATTATTGTAAACTTATCTAAAATATACTTAGTTGGATTAGGCTAAATTAAACTGCATTAGGTAAGTTTTCTAAGGTTCTTTTGGTACAAAATTTTTATTTTTACATAACATATATGAAAAAATATATATCTTCAAACGTATAAGAGAAAATTTTAAAGAAAGGACTTAATTTTAAATGAGTTCTTGCTAACTGACAATTTTACCTATTCGGCACGACATATATATAAATTTTTTTAACATGATGGCCATCTCCCACCAAGGTAGGGTGACATGAAAAAGAAACACTTTCACCATCATTCACACTATCAGTGATACGACAGTTCAGATGTCCCTCCAAACAACAAATATTTATTATTTATTCAGTAAATATTGATTTATTATTTAACACATGTCCATCTCCTGCAAAGGTAAGGTGGTTTGAAAAAGAGAAAATGCTTTCACCACGTGAAAAATATGCAGTACTACTATACTTACCATAAATGTGTACTTCTTGGTATTTCTGTAAACAGCAACAATTCATTGTAGAACACCCATGCCTGATGAGCTTAAATTTGCCAGTTATCCTATCTTCAAGAAAAATAATAGATCAGATGTCAGCAGTTACAGTACTTTTAGTAAACATGTACTAATTACTATTACAGGAGCAGAATGTCTACACTATTAGACAGGGTACTACTATAATAATAATAATAATAATAATAATAATAATAATAATAATAATAATAATAATAATAATAATAATAATAATAATAATAGTTTATTTCAGCATGATACGTTTGTACAGATGATGACATTTGGGTGTACATGCCGAAAGCCCCTATATATGCAGAGCATTTTGGGTAAACTTAAGACTATCTTAAGGTTAACAAGGCAATAAGAATAAAGTGTAAATTTAGGAGTTTACAATGAATACAAAAGAAATGAATATTCTATTAGTTCATGCTATATGGCTTTAACAAGTTTAATTGAGAGGAATTATAGGTTTGATTATTTACAGTACAGGTGTCCCTTATTTTATGCTGCAGCGCTATGCCAGGCCCTTGGCATCAGTGCTAAATTCTATCATACTATACACATTTATTTACACAGAACAAGAATTGTCAATGAGCTTTGTGAACCATACCAGCTACAACCATAATGTGCATACTGTATATGGAATTACCAACAGGAGTAACACAATGCATACCAACATGCTATACAGTAGTATCACCTGAACTATACAGTAGTATCACCTGAACTACACAGTAGTATCACCTGAACTATACAGTAGTATTACCTGAACTATACAGTAGTATTACCTGAACTATATAGTAGTATCACCTGAACTATACAGTAGTATTACCTGAACTATACAGTAGTATCACCTGAACTATACATAGCATCACCTGAACTATACAGTAGTATTACCTGAACTATACAGTAGTATCACCTGAACTATACATAGCATCACCTGAACTATACATAGCATCACCTGAACTATACAGTAGTATTACCTGAATTATACAGTAGTATCACCTGAACTATATAGTAGAATCACCTGAACTATATAGTAGTATCACCTGAACTATATAGTAGTATCACCTAAACCAGTCATGAGGGCAAAGTTTAACAGACAACTTAAACAAGTACCCTAGTGCTAAATAACAGCTACACCTACCAACCGACTTACAACCTGCTCAACATATGACTGCTCGACATATGACCACTCGACTTACGACTGTTTTGTATGCAAATGTTCTGGGAAATAAACAACTGTTTGTGCTGTACACAGTGTTTCTGCTGTTGTACACAGTGTTTTATGCTGTTATTACAGCATAAAATACAGTACTAACAGCATAAAATGTAAAGTAAAAAATTAAATACCAAAATACGTAAAACAATAAAATAAAATCATTACAATAATGTGATGTTGATATTCAGTGGTAAGGCTCAACTTACGTCCATTTTGATTTACGACTGGTTAGTCCGAACCATGCTCGGTCGTAAATCGGATGGTAGGTGTACGTACTTTTAAGTTACAGTAATGAGCATCTAACTGATAACGTCTGTGAAATATCTAGGACTAATGGTGGCCTGTGACCTGGTGGCAAAAGCTCTCGCTTCACGCGATGAGGGTCCGGGTCCAGGTGTTAGTTGACAGGTGTGGATCACATCCTGGGACAAAAACCGACAAAATTTACCCAAAATGCTCTGCATAACAAACGACTTTCTATGTAGTAGTATGTCACTGATGTCCTTTGATATACCTCTGAAGAGTTTCAAGAGTTTAACTACGTACTCTCAGAGCCAGGCCATGGGCCAGGCTCATCTGGTGCTTGCCACACCAACCAAGCTGTTGCTGCTGGAGGCCTGCTGCCCCACATACCCATCACAGCCTGGTTGATCTGGCACCTGGTGAAGATATGTACTTGTCCAGTTTCCTCTTGAAGGCTTCTACACTTGTTCCAGCTATGTTTCTGATATCTTCTGGTAAGGCGTTGAATAGTCTGGGACCCCGGATGTTGATACAGTGTTCCCTTATTTTCCTCACCACATCCCTGCTCCTCACTGGGTTTATTTTATACTTCCTCCCATATCTCTCACTCCAGTATGTTGATATGGCAGTGTGCAGATTTGGGACCAGGCCCTCGGGTACTTTCCAGGTGTATATTATCATGCATCTCTCTCTCCTCCACTCCAATGAGTACATGTTCAAGACTTGAAAGCATTCAAAGTAATTTAGGTGCTTTACTGGCTCGATGCGAGCCGTAAACCATCTCTGTATTTGTTCCAGCTCTGATATTTCTCTTGCTGTGAACAGGGCCGTCAGCACTGAGCTATATTCTAAATGAGGGAGAATTAACAATTTGAAGAGTGTCACCACTGGCATTATTTCCCTTGTTTTGAAAGTTCTCAATACCCACCCCATCATCTTCCTGGAGGTTGTAATCTTTATCTTGCTCTGTTCCTCAAATGAAAGATCAGCTGACATAATTATTCCCAGAACTTTTATGTGTTCCTTTTGTTCTGTTTGGTGACCCTCTCGAGTTCTGTATATAGTGTTCCTTTTGAGTTCTTCATTCTTTCCATACCTAAGCAGCTGCAACTTATCCGCATTGAACGTCTTGTTGTTCTCCACTGCCCACTGGAAAACCCTGCTTATGTCTTCCTGTAATTTTTCAGCGTCCTCTACTGTAGTGACTTTCATGCTTGCTTTAGTGCCATCTGCAAATGATGATGCAAAACTGTGACGGGTGTTCTGTGCTATGTCTGTTATAAGGATGAGAAACAGCAGAGGTGCCAGGACAGTGCCTTGGGGCACTGAGCTTTTGACCTTGCTGATGCTGGATCTTGCTCTGTTTACTACTTGTTGTGTTGTGTGTGTTAGGAATCCGAATATCCATCTGCCTACCTTCCCCGTAATGCACATGGCCCTCACTTTGGTCGCTATCACTCCATGATTGCATTTGTCAAACACCTTTGCAAAATCTGTGTAAATCACATCTGTGTTTTGGTCTTCTTCCAATGCCTCCGTAATTCTGTCATAATGGTTCAGCAGCTGTGACAGGCATGATCATCCTGCTATAAAACCATGTTGGTTCGGGTTATGCTGGTTGTATTGGTCCATGAAATTTGTAATCTGCCATCTCATCACTCTTTTGAAGATTTTTATGATGTAAGAAGTTAGGGTCAGCTAGGCCTGTATGCCTTATACATGTACTTGCATAGTTTACAATATGTAAATTACAATATTGGTTTGCTAAGTGCAAAGAAAGCCACTATCATCCCGAGGCATTTTGGGCGGTCTTAACCTAATGCTTTACAGACTATTTAATACTAGACATATATATGTATATCATAGTTGGTTCGAACTGAACATTTTTTTATATATCAACAGAGGTAGTAGCGGTTTCACAGTATAATTAAATTAACAAGTAGTTGAATTGTAAGTTACAGAATTACATGTATATTTTAGCATATTAAATATAATGAGACTTAGACAATTTTAGTTTTGAAATAATCTTATCAAATTTGGAGTTTTTGGGCTAATGGTGACAATAGTATAAAGTGTTTGTGTTGTTAGTTTTGGGAGATGAGGTGATTTCTAAGTAGTGCCTTGAATTGGTGTGCAGGTAAGGGCCCTTTTGTGTTTTCAGGCAATGAATTCCAGATTCTGGGGCCCTTTATATGCATTGCATTTTTGCACAGAGAGAGATGGACACGAGGGATATCAAATAGTGTTTTGTGTCTTGTGTCATGCAAGTGTGTTCTATTGTAGTTCTCGAGAGAGTTTGAGAGGAGGGTTTATATTGCAGAATTATGTTCTGTGTATGTAGTAGGCACAATAATATAAGTGGATATTTTGTATGTTAACCAGGTTCAAGCTCTTAAATAGTGGTGGGGTGTGTTGCCTGGCACAGAAGTTTGTAATCATTCTCACAGCAGCTTTCTGTTGAATAATTAAAGGTTTAAGGTGATTTGCTGTGGTTGAACCCCATGCACGAATACCATAAGCGAGATGAAATTAAGACACGTGCAACATCTGGGTATCTTTATTGTAGACGTTTCGCCAACCAGTGGCTTTATCAATACAAATTCCAGGACATAACTTGAAGATAGTAGAACTATGTACAGAAGATGAGGTAATCAGTCCCTCAACCTAGTAGTAGGTGCGAAGAGCACCGTAGTCGTGGAGATTCTCATTTCTCATCTTGTCGGTATTATATACCATTCTTGTACAACTTGTCATACACTGCAACATCATGGAATCTTGATTCTGAGGACATGTACATAACCTTCACGACTACGACAACTACTACTACAACTAACCCATCTCTTTGGGTAGAACCAACTTCCACTGGGGAATCCCGCCTACCAGTGACTATGCCCTCGTCTGCTACCCGTCCCATTTCCACCTGACGTTAGTATACAAGCGTCAGGTGCCTTGCTTCTGCTTCAGAATCTCCATGACTACGGTGCTCTTTGCACCTACTACTAGGCTGAGTGACTGATTACCTCATCTTCTGTACATAGTTCTACTATCTTCAAGTTATGTCCTGGAATTTGTATTGATAAAGCCACTGGATGGCGAAACGTCTACAATAAAGATACCCAGATGTTGCACATGTGTCTTAATTTCAGAAAAAGTGTGTTTGGGTAGTTGCCAGTGAGACAGTTTTTTTGGTTTTAGTGTTGTGGTTTGTAAGGTTATTGTTTCTAAGTTTAATTCTCTTGATACAAAAGTTTTGACAGCAACATTCTACCAGAAGAAATCAGAAACACTGCTGTAAGAAGTGAAGAAGACTGAAGAAGACTTAAAGAGGAAACTCCTGAAGGATATCCAAAAGGACCCCAATGGGAATTAGTCACTGACTTTTTTGGGTTATCCTAGGTAATTTACACTGTGTATGGCAACTGCACTAATGTGTACTTGTGCCTAAATAAACTTACTTAGGAGTCAACATGCCCATGGCTGCACACAGTTCAAAGTACAAACCACAGCCAGGTTGACTAGCAACTGGCTTGAAGAACTCAAAGTTATCTTGAAGACAGCCAGGGTCTGTTGGTAATCCTCTTTATGTATGTGTACTCATGAACCTTTGCTTTTCTTTATGGGTATTTTGCACCATATACCGAGTCTTTGCTTTCATAAGGAGAGATTTTTGTATGCAGATTTGGGACCACTAGGATTTTCCAAGTGTAAATTATCATGAATTGTTTTTCACCTGCATTCCAATGAGTACATGTTGAGGGACTTCAAACATTACCAGTAATTTAGGTGTTTGACTGAATTTATAACTGCAGTGAACTTGACCAGTATCATCGTCAAGTGCTAAGCCAACAATGATGTGATAGATACGTGAGCCAGCAGTAAAAGTCTGGTTGACCAGGCAAGCTTTTAGGCTTAAGGGACTGACCACACTCCACCCAAGGTGATGGACTGATCATGTTAAAACTACTTATACCATCTCCTGTATTGGACTGAAAAGCCTGTTGTAAAGGTGAAATGTTTCAGCAATCAAGATACCCAGTGTTGCAAGTGTGTCTTATTCATCCACCAGACAATAACCAAACAAGCCTGATCCAATGCCAAGCTGTGAGAATAGGAAAACTCTTGAAACCAGCCAGAGGTACAATATATCAAAGGTGTTAATGTTAAAAAAAATGTACCTTGACCCTTTAATGTTTCATCACAGAAATACTGGAGGGATTTGAATATACTTCTAACATGTTTCAGACTGCCATTTCTGAGATTTTTTTACTTCTATAAATTTTGCTTTACCTGTCATAGTTTTTTATGAATTTTTTTAAAGTGAATCTCACCAGTCATTATTCCAACAAATGAGCAATTGGGAACCACCTGTTCCCAAGTCTGGAACTACACAACTTCAAACCTCATTTCCTCATTCTCCTTTGCAAGGAGATAGAACTCTCATTGGTTACTTGAGGATGACAATGAGTTATTCCCCCTATAGGTTATGAGACAATTTCAAAAGGTTCATTTGTTCAGAATGAGCTCTGGAACCTTTCCAGATAACAGTACATCAGTTTTCAAAAGTTTTTTTTTTTTTTAAACTACAGAACCCAATTTTTTAAATAATATAAGTGAGGACAGAAAAGTATGATTTCCCACATAATTAGCAAGAAGCTTATACTACATATATCTTTATAAAAATAATGCTTTTATCAGCCATATTATATTTGTATAGTATAGTCATTTTTAAGCACTGAAAACATTAAGAAAACTGACATATAATGTGCTTACTAATGCTGCTGAAGCATAACTATAAGAAATAGCAAAAAAGGCACAATACCGTGACTGGAACGATACACAAATAACCCGCACATAAAAGAGAGAAGCTTACGACGACGTTTCGGTCCGACTTGGACCATTGACAAAGTCACGCTAACCAGAGGTGGAGCAGGATGGCTATATATAGGCAGGAAGAGGTGGTGGTAGTAGTAGTAGTAGTAGTACAAGAGTTGTATATAATACCGACAAGATGAAATTAAGACACATGCACAACACCCGGGCATCCCCATCATAGATGTTTCGCCATCCAGCCAGCCACTGGATGGCGAAACGTCCACAACAAAGACAACCAGACGCCGCACATGTGTCTTAATTTCATCAGTAGTTGTAGTAGTAGTAGAAGAAGAAGAGGTAGTAGTAGTGGTAGTGGTAGAAGTGGGAAATAAGGAGGACGAGCCAGTCAAATACAAAGGAAGGGGAGCACTGCAAGAGAGCTAGATGCCCACAGAGGGAGAGCAAGCGCACAGAGGTGCGTGAAAGGGGAAGTGGTGAAATAAATGAAGAAGGAACAGAAACACGAGACAGGAGAGAGAAAGACAACCCAGAGGAGAAAAGGAAAGAGGAAAGGAGAAGAGGAAGAAGAAGAAAAAGAAAAAGAAAAAATGAGGATTCAGGTTAAGTCACGGGTGTTCTGAAATTTGGAGCATTTTACAATGTAGTGGGAGAGGAAGGCATCTACAGAGACGAAGCCAGGGCTAAGGTTCATACAAGGAAAGTTGTGTATTAGAGAGGATTCAATTAGACAGCGACTGTTCGAGTTGGAAGTAGGGAAGACAGTTTTTGCAGAAGACTAGTCAATAGGATGGCTATGATCTCTGACGTGACAGAAAAGAGCATTGTTAGTGTCGGCAAGCCTAACACTATTTTTGTGCTCCCTAAGTCTATCAGAAAGAGATCGACCAGTTTCTCCGAAGTATTGAAGAGGACAGGAGGAGCAAGAAATACCTGGAGTTTTACCTGGAGAGAGTTCCGGGGGTCAACGCCCCCGCGCCCCAGTCTGTGACCAGGCCTCCTGGTGGATCAGAGCCTGATCAACCAGGCTGTTGCTGCTGGCTGCACGCAAACCAATGTACGAGCCACAGCCCGGCTGATCAGGAATAGAGTAGACACCAGGAACATCTGTAGAGGGAGGAGAGGTATGAACGAGATTAGTGCGAAGAGTGTTAGTCTGGCGGAAGGTAAGCTTGATGTCTAAGGGACGGAGAGAATTGTTGAGATTAGAAAGACCGGAAATGTAGGGAAGGCAGAGGATAGAAGAGTTCTCATGAGTAGAGAGTTTGGGAGAGAAGAAATTGCATTTAGCACGTGAGAGGGCAGAGTATATGAAATGGGAAGGGTAGCCAAGACGGGAGAACGAATTATGAAGAGTGGAAATTTCTGCTGGAAGGAACTGAGGATCACAGATGCGCAGGGCACGGAGAAAGAGGGAGATAAGAACACTTTTCTTGACAGGAGAAGCATGATAGAAAAAGTAGTGAATATACATGCCACTGTGCATAGGTTTACGGTAAACGGAAAAGGAAAAACCTGTATCTGAGCAGTGGACATGGACATCAAGGAAAGGAAGCAAGGAATTAGATTCCCATTCAGCTTTAAACTTAATGGAAGGGGCAAGATTATTAAGAGCTTCAAGAAACGGTTGGAAGAGACTGGAGTCATAAGGTTGTCTTTGTTGTGGACGTTTCGCCATCCAGTGGCTGGCTGGATGGCGAAACGTCTATGATGGAGATGCCCGGGTGTTGTGCATGTGTCTTAATTTCATCTTGTCGGTATTATATACAACTCTTGTACTACTACTACTACCACCACCTCTTCCTGCCTATATATAGCCGTCCTGCTCCACCTCTGGTTAGTGTGACTTTGTCAATGGTCCAAGTCGGACCGAAACGTCGTCGTAAGCTTCTCTCTTTTATGTGCGAGTTATTTGAGTATAACTATAAGAAAGATGTTTTTAAAAACATAATTTTTGTTTAAAATACAAACACTGTCAGGTGGCAACAATAATAATAATAATAATAATAATAATAATAATAATAATAATAATAATAATAATAATAATAATAAAATACAATAAAATAAAATACAATAAAATAAAATTTACAATAATAATAAAATACAATAATATAAAATAAAATTTACAATAATAATAATAACATAATAAAATTATATAATAAATATAACTGTATAAAAATTTATTATTAATCTTTATTTCTACAAATTAAATGATACAAGTATTACACATTAGCTGACATTGATATACTATATAGAAAGCTCCTGGTTATACCGAGAATTTCTGGTAACTTAGATTAATTGTCCCCAGGATGCCACACACCAGTTTAACAACCAGGTACCTACTTACTGCTAAGTGACCAGGGGCAGCAAGTGTAAGGTAACTAACAACCAGGTACCTAATTACTGCTAGGTGACCACGAGCAGCAGGTCTAAGGAAACAGCCCAACGTTTCCACTAGTGCTGGGGATCGATCCCGAACCCTCAGTGTGAGCTGGCGCACTACCAACCAAACCATGAACTCATTCCATCACGCAAAATCAACGTAGATATCAGACCAGAAAATAACATTTCATCCAATATTTGACGAATTAAAAAAAAAAAAAAAGAGAACAGAAACAACATGGCTAGTTTTGATGACCTAATTCCCTGGTCCCTACAAACACACTACTGTCTGCTCACACTCTGCTACTGCTTCACATAGACCAGTAACATATCACAGCTGCTGATCACTACACTCAGGACACCAAGGTTTGGTTATTAGGGGGGTTTAAAGCCTATCGACTACACCAGTCACTATGCCTGCACGTAACCTCTTCCACCACCAGGCAACAACACTAATACTCAAAATAAGGATTACTTTAATTCCTATAATAGGGATTAAAGCAAACTCTCGGCATAAATACACCCAGAGAAATACACGTTTCTGTGTATATATCCTGTGACACAAGGATTATTCACCAGCTCAAAATATCTGGTGGAGTCTTTGTTGACACTGAGGCTCCACCAGCCCCTCTACCATTATTGTATGTTTCTAAATAAGTGTTTATATATTTTTAATATATTAATAAGTTTTTACAATAATCTTGAAGGTACAGAAGTGTTACAAGCATGCACATATATATATAGAACAGTGTGTAATTTAATCTAGGCTAACCCAAATATCTTAAATAAATTCTGTCAATTTGAATATGCAAAAACTAGGCACTTCAGGATTATCTAGTATTATTTTGCCTTTAATTAATATCTAGAACTTTTAGGGAAAACATTACAATGCTTAAAAATTTAAAATTCCTATTTAGAAATGCAAGTGGCTAGTTTGTAGAAGAAAACGATATTACTAGATAGGATGAACACTTATAAATACCTTTTGTCATTGATTATTTTGGGGTATTTAATTTTATTATATATATATAATATATATATATACATGTATAATATATATATATATATATATATATATATATATATATATATATATATATATATATATATATATATATATATATATATATATATATATAGATATATATATATATATATATATATATATATATTGGGCCACACAGTGTCTGATCTCACTAGGTCAAGGCATTGGCTTAAGTCGGTGGGAGAATTGGACTTGCCTCGCTTAGGCCAGCAGGCCTGTTGCAGTGTTCCTTCTTTCTTATGTTCTTATGAGTCAAGAACAAGCTATGTAGTTCTGAGGTGACATTATTCTCCATCAGAGTGCCAGGCACATAAGCCATTGGTCTACTCAAGCGTAATTATTATTTTTATAATAAAGAAGCGCAAAAAACCAACAAGGGGTCATACAGTGCAGCAAGCGGAAAAGGATGCGGGGGTATTGAGTACAAGCGAGAGAGAGGGTTAAAGAAAAGGCATGGGTGAAAAGCAGGCAGGGGCTTGCAGGGGTAAAGGGGTACAAGAACGAGGTAGAAAGGACTGTGAGAATGCGGGGATCTCAGAGTCACTGAGTTGGTCAAGGCCTATCAGCAAGAAATGAAGGTGAAAAAAGGGGCTAGGCGGTGGGGACGTTGGGGGTAAATTCGCGTTTTTGAGTGGGCAGTCCAACATTTGGGGAAACAGAAACGGGAAACCCTACAACTAAAAATATTTTTATAATCAAAAGAAGCGCTAAGCCAAAAGGGGCTAACAGCGCTAACCAAAGTAAAAGTCACGACATGAGGAACACACAAGCACAATCCTGACTGGAAACAATACAAAAATAACCCCACACAGGAGACGCTTAAAAGACATTTTGGCCCTTTTGGAACTTTAAAATCAAGGGGACCCAGATAATGGGAAAAGGGATAGGACAGGACATTTCGCCTTCCCTATTTCTCCCAAGGATTTAACTCAACGCGACTGACTTGTGGCAGCTACATTCACCGCTCCTTCAAGAAGTCCTGTTTTAATTCGGTATGTTTATGATCAAAAAAAGCGAAAACCTACAATCATAAGCGCATCGTTGGTGATGAGTTTTGTTCATTTGTATACAGGAGACAGCCACCTTCACGTGGCGACTTATTATGGATAACTGTAGGTAATAAATCGTGCAAAATATTATTATTATTATTATCAAAAAGAAGCGCTAAGCTTGTGCTACAGGTCGGTTCCCGGGGGGGGTTCCCCCCTAAGTCAATGTGACCTGACCTGACTAGGTTGGGTGATTGGCTTAAGCCGGAAGGAGATTGGACCGTCGCAGGGGCCCAGTGGGCCCCTTCTGCAGTTTTTTTCCTTCGTTTTTATGAAACAGGACAAGTGTTTCCTGACGCGGGTCTTAGATGACCTGTCACTGTAGCTTTTGGTCATCTGACCGAGGCCTTCCACTGGCTTACCCGGCCACCCCTTTAAAAAATTTTGGGATAAATTAACAAAGTGCAACTCTTGGGACTTTATTTAGGAAACGTTTTGCTTTCCCAATTCTTGGGCACGACCTATTCCAATTTAACAAAGGGGACACCCCCTATATGCTGCACCCTCCTGCATACGGTTTAAAAGGCCTTCTCCGCTCTATGCCCCTATTCACTCAAGATGAGGACTGAAAACTGACTCAAGGTTGGGACTGATTACCCATTCCCTCCCCCGTTCTTCAAATTTTTCCTATGTATGGGTGATAAGCCACTGTGGCCGAAAAAGTTTCCTCAATAAAGATACCCAAGATTGCACATGTGTTTTTATCAACATGCGGTTCTCTAACCTTTTTCCCACAAAAATTATGGTCAAAGTTATAAAATTTCTTAATGTTCTTTGTGTTATATCTTGGGACAAATTTTATTATAATAAGGGGGGGATAAACCAAAAGGAAAAAAACGCCGTGGGGATATGGAAGGCATTTTAGGTTTTAATTTAAGGGGAAAGGGCACAGTCCCCTTCCCAACAAGAGCCCCCAACCAGATCTTGGGACAAACCCCGGAACGGGTCTAAAACTCCAGGCCCAAAGCGCAAGCATGGGCCAAATGACTACAATACATTTTAAACCAATTGGGGGTTTTACAACCACAGGATTTTTACGGGTATCGCCACGAGTTCAAACCCCATCTGTTCCCCTAGTTTTTCAGTCGTGTTTCGTTTTGGGAGTCAGGAAAATAGTCTCCACACGAAACCCTCTGTGCTTTTCCACAGGGTTCATAATCAGGGGGAGCGCTCCCATAGGGTTTAAAAAGGCCCTGGGGGATTGAAGATATTTAGGGTTAAATTTGGGGAAAATCCTGCACAGATCCCAAATTTTTAGATTTGAGCCCCTCCTAGCATCAAGATACCTCCTTGAGGGGATTCATCCTAGAGGGGGGATCTCTAATGCCGTGGATCAAGAGCCCCTCATTTGCAAGGCTCTCTAAGGTAATTTTTTATCTTTTTTTTTGAAACGCTAAACCCATAGGGGGAAAAAAAGCGCTTTAGTAATATGAGGTCCACGGGGGGAAATTTCAATCTGGGGGCGCTAAATCCTTTTGGAAAACAGGCAAGGGTAGGGTTTAAAATTTTACAATGATCATTTAAACGCTAAACCCTAAGGGTCTACTGCGCCCTAATTTCCCTTTTCAAGAGCTCTTTCTTCCCCCCCGGAAAACAAGTTTTTGCTAGTCCCGGAGAGCAAGAATCGCTGGTGCTGACCCGCCCAATGAAAGCATAAAATACAGTTTTTTTTTAAACCCTATTTATCCAGGTTAATAAAACATCACAGGATTCTAGGTTTTTTTTCAGTTTTTTTTTTTTCGAAAAAAAGATCGCAGTTACCTGAATGGGATTTTTCAGGCAACAAATAAAAAGATATTCAAGATACGGTTACTGCTTTTTAAAGAAATTTTATGAAAGGTATACAAATCTTCAAAATGAATTAAGACATTTGCAAATCGGGAATTAATGGACGTTTCGCCAACCAG